GAGGGATTTGAACTTTGGGATTATAAAGTATGGGGAAGAAAACGGTTTATGAAATTGGGTTTTTTTTTTTTTTTTTTTTTTTACAAAATACCCTTTTTTATTTTTGGTTGCAAGTAAACAGTCGTGGGTTGAACAAGTGTGTGTGTTGCCAATTTTTAATAGACCAAGCCAAGTTGAAAACGCAGTGATGTAAAAATGCAGGTCAATTTGTTGACTTGTTTATTTTTTAAAGCATTGGTAGAATTTAGGGTTGCCAGTGAATTAGCATTTTACAAACAAATCGATTATGTATGATTTTTCAAAATAAGGTGTGCGAGAGGCATTAGTGACAATGAGCGTGGTGATAGGAATTTTGTGTGTTTTTGCATATTAGCTCTCTAATGTTTTGGTGTAAATTAAAAGGGTTTGAAAACTAAAAACAAACAAATTGATTAGGCCTATGTATGATTTTTCAAAATAAGGTGTGCGAGAGGCATTAGTGACAATGAGCGTGGAGATAGGAATATGGATTTTAATTTTGTGTGTTTTTGTATATTAGCTCTCTAATGTTTTGGTGTAAATTAAAAGGGTTTGAAAACTAAAAACAATAGGTAGTAAAAAAAAGTATAATAGTAGCCTATACGGAGAAAGGAAATAGTACTAGCTAAGTGCAAATTTTAGGCGTTTGCAAATCTTTAATACAAATAAATTCAATATACAGTACTACAATATACAGTAGTACAATATACAATATACAGTAAGTACTTTGAATAAAATGATGAATTCCAAAATGAATATAAACTAAATGAATAAATGTACATTTTCATGTGAATTTAAATGCAATGTGTAAAATACTCATATAAAACTATAATGACATGTCATAATGAGAAGTATTAGCCTATGTTAATCTAACGCCGACTGCCTGTCAATCACTTTGCATTCTTGTGTTTGCTGGTTTGCTGGCTTGTGTATTTGTGGGCGGGGTTTGGATGGGGCTTTTCAAAGTCACAACATACGGGCATTTGCCGACCCGGCGCCATTGCTGAGGGCAAAACATTAGAAGAATCGGAAGCAATACGAGCTCGATGAAGTGAAATGAGTTAAAATGGTCATCTGCTTGGTCAATGGATGTTAAAATCGTGCCGGAGGTTCAGTTAAATCGGGATTTTACATTATACCCGTCATTAGACTCCACGAATGTGAGAAGACTAAGCTTTTATCAGGACAACGACGGAGGTTATGGCTGGTGAGGATAAACAGGACAGAAACTCACTCAAAACACGCAAGAATTTGTTTGACAAAAGCACAATGTTGTGTTTTATTACGAGTGTAAACAAATATAAGTTAACACTTTGTAGTTTGAACAGCTATGCGACTGACACTTTGAGCTTCACAAAGTGAAGAGATCATAAAACTACCTTAATCCATGTGAATTGAGCGGTTTACTCCAAATTCTCCGAAGAGACATAATCGCTAAATGTGATGGACTGGATTTAATTTAGGCTTTTATTCACAAATAAACTTTTATATACTCTCACATCAGTTGTGGGAAGATGAAACATGTTTGCTTGACATGCTTCAAGGTTCAGGTTGATTCATTCTGGCGTTACGCAGAGAACCAATGAGCGTGTTACCTGGTGTTGAGCAGCACTTTTGGGCTTCAGCAAGAACCAATGAGGTTTGTACTCGTGTGTGAAGCAGGTTCGGTTGAGCTTCTCTTTACATTTGCTGATCAATGTTTATACCTACCCAAAACATTGTCAAAAAACATAATTTAGTATGATATGATGCTGTTTTTCTCATGGGGACTAAAGAAGTGTCCCCCATAAGGATTTTGGATATTGCCAACTATGTGATGATTTCATAGAAATATTTTATTAATTTTTTAAAGAACGAAATACTTTTATTCTGCAAGGATGCATTAAATCTATCAACGGTGAAAATAAACACATTTACTTATGGTACAAAAGATTTGTATTTCAAGTAAATGCATATATACAGTAAATGAACAGTTCAGATGCGAAAGCTTCAAAGTGCCAATTGAAATTTGCTTCTAGAAGGATCATTTTTAAGCTTGTATATTAAGTTAAGTCATTTCACTTAAATGACATTTGCCATTTAAGAGAAATTACTGAACTTTAATATACAGGCTTGATAAAAATGATCATTTCAAATGGCACTAGGGGCTTTTCTATCTGAACCCTTCATATATATTAGTAAGCTGTCAAGCTCCAAATTGTTAAATAATGTACCATATAATTATCATAAAAGTAGTTTTAAGTGCGTCAGTCCTATGTAGCTTCAGGAGTTTTGAACTTGCAGGCAAGATTTTGTCTTGACAAATAGCCAGTGTTATTTATCAAGTATATTTAATTTCTCCTCCTTTTAAAAGGAGTGATACTTATATCAAAGGCTTGATATTATTTATATTTTTTTGTGGCGAGCAGATGGTTTGTAGCCTCAGATGACGGCTCCGAGAGAGAGAGAGACCTGCTCCCAGGACGGACCGCGTCTCTGGCATCAGTGCTGAAAGACCGGAGACGTGCGGCCCCAGGATGCCTGACAGTGCTGGATAATTGACACATTTCCACAAGGCTTTAGTGACTCCCATCTTCTGTCAGTGTCATGTCAGATACGCTAAGGTAAGCAGAAGTGACACATCGGGCCAGCTTACAGCGCTGAAGTAAGTTCTCCTCAGGGATTAGAGGATCATTTGAGTGGAGGTGAACTCTGAATTCTGTTTGTTATACTGACAGAACGATTGAAGCCATTTGACACATGGTTATTCTGTTTGATTGCAGTTGCTTTCCCACATGGATTGTGTTTGATTTGCAGCGTTTGCTTGCGTGGCATCTTGACAAATAGCGTTATAAACGCTTATGAAGTGAATGTTGCGTTTCAGTTTTCTCATAGGGACAGTGAGGTGAATGTGTCAGATTATTTTCATGCATTAAATGCATTAAAGGTTGTACTCTTAAACTGCTACTCGATGGGTTTTGCATTCAGACTCGGATTTTACTTTGGGCAGGTGACAGTAGCAAAATAAAAAGTAAATGTCCTAAAAATATGCAAGAATATTACAGTTTTTCTCGATTGTTTACACACATTTTCAGAAAGCATGCCTCATACTCTCCGAACTCTACACACAAATCAAAAAACAGACACACAATGGGCAAAACCCCTCAATTCTCCTGCAAAATGTAACTTTACATTCAAAACAATGTTACTTTTCCTCAAAATGGTATTTTGTTTTCAAATGACACACACAAACCATCATATGAATAGACATTTATAAGAACCAGTTGAACACTGATGTGCTTAATGTAAAACACTTCTTCTCCATTCATCATTCATCATCATGACTTGGGCCTTTTTGTTGTTCAGTGTTACACTTACTACACAGTATACACCTAAATGTATTGTAAAATATTTGAGAATACTGTTTTTATAATCGGACAAATATTCTGTAACAAATATTTTTATTTTTTCCACAAAAACAAGTTGCACATACAAAACAGAAGAATTTACTGTATACAGTTACAGAAAAAAAAAAAAAAAACATGCTGCAGCCTCCTTCTGTTTCGGTTTCTTTATGCTAAGGCCATGTCCACACTAATACGTTTTCGTTTTAAAACTTATATTTTTCTCTCCGTTTTGGCCTTCCGTCCACACTGAGACGCCGTTTTAAGTCAACAAAAACGTATCGTTTGGAAAACGCTCTCCAAAGTGGCTAAATTTGAAAACGCCGTTTTCGCTTTGTAGTGTGGACAGTGAAACCGGAGGTATTTCAAAACGATGACGTAAGTTTAGTCATGTGATCCATGTAGAACCAATAGATATTCAAGTTTATCGGTATTGTGCCTGTTATGTGTTATACATTTTTACACTATTGCTAAAATATGTTACTTTCTATGTTATTTAATATGTGCTATTCTTCATAGCACAGTACTGCAAGGATAACAGATAATGTAGTCTACTCACATTTGCTGTCCTGCGGCAAAACAGGAGAGCAGTTGCGTTTTGGACCAAACATATGGTGACTGAATGCGACCTTGACGCATCCATGATGGTGAGATATTTTGCTACACTCTAAAAAATGCTGGGTTTTTTTTAACCCAGTTTTGGGTAAAATATGGACAAACCCAGCCATTGGGTTAAATTTTTTAATTACATTTTTAACCCAACGTTTGGGTTTGTCCATATTTTACCCAATACTGGGTTAAAACAACCCAGCATTTTTTTAGAGTGTAAGTAAAATTATCCTGTTATTGTGCGATGACTTTATTTATTTTCCCATCTGTATCATCTCAGTGAGCTTTTGTGAAGTTTCACGCATGCTCAGTAAAGTGAATTTAGAAGTTTCTCATCCACACTGAAACGTCGGAAAACACCTGAAAACGCTAGTGTGGACGGAGAGCGTTTTTAAACGAAAACCCCGTTTTCAAATGTATCCGGATTAATGTGGACTTAGCCTAAAGCCCTGATTGCTAATTGTAAAACTGTGTGCCCATGTGACGAGTCGGTGTGCATACCTGAATGGCAGTGTGTTCCATGTGAAAACTAGAGATTTTCTGCATGAGAATTGTGTGTAGTGTTTTGAAAAAAGTGTGTTTTATAACTGCAATTTGAGTGTAAAGCATGCATGAATTGTGCTTGTAGTTTAGCACAATTGGTTCAGGGGGATGTTGTGGTCAAGCACCTGTATATGTGTGTAAACAATTGAGAAAAACTGTAACGTGACAGACTGAACAGAAAAAGGAACGTGATTTTGATTTTTAAATGCGTCTACAAATTCAGGTATAAGTTAACTGTCAAAAAGCTACATCTGATGGATTTCACAGAAAATCCGACCCGGAGACTTCACATAAAAATTCAGAGGGAATAGCAAAACCCCACAAGTGGATCATTATAATGTGTGATTACAACCCCTTTACACACGGGCAATAAAACAAGGATTTATTTTAGAAGAAAAGTTACATATAGCACCTTGAAAAATTTTCAAAAACCAAAAGACCAAGTGCTTCATTTGAAGAAAGATTTATTTGCATGATTCGATGTAACTGACAGCACTAGTCAATAGTCATTATAAAACATTATCGTAGAATATCACGGCTCACTCGCGTCGCCCTCGGCCTGTTTTCAGCCAGGACACGAACTCTTTCGCCGCCTGGTCCTGCTGGTAGGAGCTGACATCGCTGGTGTATGTGCCGTCTGCGTGGCGTCGTGTGGGGACTCTGCATGGGGGAGAACGCAGGTTTAGTTAAGGCTGATATTCTTTGTAATAAACTATATACTTCTGTATTTTAGAGTAAAGATATTTATAATGTTATAAAATATTTCTATTTCAAATAAATGTTAAACTTTCTATTCATGAAAGAATCCTGTAAAAAAATGTATCACTGTTTCCATAAAAATATGAAGCGGCACATTGATTTCTGAAGGATCATGTGGCATGGAAAAGTCAGCTTTGCAATCACAGGAATAAATTACACTTTGCAATATATTCAAATAAAAACCAGTTATTTAAATTGTAATAATATTTCTAGGGCTGCCAAACGATTAATCGCGATTAATCGCATCCAAAATAAAAGTTGTGTTTATATAATATATGTGGGTGCACTGTGTATAATTATTTTTTTTATATATAAATACACACATGCATGCATATTTAAGAAAAAAATATTATTTATTTATAATATATATATATATATATATAATAAATTGGATCTAAATCTATATACAGTATATACATGAAAATATTTCATATATATAATAATTCTGCACAGTGCACCCACATATTATGTAAACACAAACTCTTATTTTGGATGCGATTAATGATTTGACGGCCCTAAATATTTCACAATTTTACTCTATTTTTGATCAAATAAATGCAGCACTAGTGAGCATAATACACTTCTTTTTTTTTACCAAGTCAAAACCTTTGGTACTTTTGGTAATTTTATTTTAAATAAAAAAATGTTAACCTCTATGAATGTGGGAATTGAAATGAATTTCCAATGAGTGAAAACTATATTTTTCTTTTTTCATAATTACATTTCATAATTTCATTCACGCATCTTCCCTGATATGACAATTGACATTTCATGTAAACTTTTTTTTTTTAAATAATAGTTCAAGATGGAATTTTTTTTTCTTAAATCTTTTGAAAGAATTTGCAGACTGTCCAAACTTACCCACTCCTTTTGGAGTTCATTAACCACTGAACGAAGTCCTGTGCTCTCCTGGTCTCCAGGTATTTACTGTAATCGTTGGAGAACGTGCCTTCTGAATGTCTCTTCATGTTGTTTGTTTCTCTTGGGTCATTAAATAATGCTTCTTCAGACATAAAGCTGAAAGACAATGTCAAATACGTCATTCTCCAAAAAGAAAAAGCCATCAAGAGCACGCCTGGCTCACATTTCACCCCCAAATCAAAAAGATAGGAATAATGCATTCATTTTGACATAATTATTTCATTCTGAAACACATTTCTATGATGGCTTCACGTAAAATACTTGCTGGATGTTGAATCTGAATCTGCACTGTAAAATAGCATGTGAAGCTATAAAATTGCACATTTCACAATTTTAGAGTTCCTTTTTTGAGGTTAAATGTGTCCCAGGTTGTGTTTGATTTGTAAGGGAACAATCAAAAATCTTCAAGGCCATTAAAAAAAATGAAATAATGCATAATTCGGTCGCTCTTACCTGGTGTTTTCTTCCGTGTCTTGTATGGGAATCTGCAGGCTGCTCTCGATCAAGATGAGAAGTAAAAGTCCAATGGAGGCGTAGTAGATCCTTACCATCATCTTACCTGAGGATGCAGACCGCACCGTTACTCAGTAAAGCGTTCACGCATTACCTGTAAAGAGTTCTCAGACTCACCTTAATCTCTGTTGGGTCGTCGCGGAGAAATGTACTCGACGATTTTGATGTTGTCTCGCTGATTTCACCTTCCTGGCTCCCAGTGCGATTTCACAGTCCCAGCCTGATGTTCGGAGGCTTATATAGTGATGCCCAGGTGGCATGATACACACACACACACACACACATACATATATTAGTTTCAATCCATTAATCTCAATGCATCAGTGTATTTGCACTGTGAACCTGTTTGAAAGAGAGATGGGGGGAAATGGTCAAAAAGTCACTTTAGGGGAAAATCAAACATGATTTTGTCCTTTTAAAAACCGAGAAGAGCAAATAATTGCACACGTACTGTCAGGATGAGACACATTTTCTGGAAGTGATGTTTGTGCTCTGCGAAGCTTTCTTTCTTTTTGTGAGAAATCAATTTATTTATTATTTCCCAATTTCAGGGAGTTTTCCACTATATTATTTATTTTTTATTTTTAGGAAGGATATGCAGTGGCTCCAAGTATTTGGACTTTTAAGTCATACTTACAAAAAGGTCTACATTGCATTTTGATAAATCAAATATTTTCTCAGTAACCTCACTTTTCTTAAAGGAGTAGTTCACTTTAAAAAAAAAAAAAAAGCTTTTGCTGATAATTTACTCACC